ACTCCAAAAAGTATTTTATATGAATGTGTACACCCAAAAGATGCCTTACCATCGTGAAAAAAATGCAGAAACATTTGTCAAGATCTTTGTTTTTGAACAAAAATGACATAAAAAGTTCACATTCTGACAGAATATGTTGTACAAAAGTATTTCTAAAAATGTTTTCTAAATGATCTAATTTTATGAGAACCATGTAGAAAAGGATAAAATTTAAAAAACAATTTTACACACATTTGTTGTCAAATTTATTTTTGTTTTTGACCAAAAATGAAATGAAAAGTTCAGATATTGACAGGAAATTTTATAAAAATTTCAAAAAATGTTCTCTGAATGCCCTAATTGAGAAATATGCAGGAAAAGATAACATTTATATATATATTTGTAAATATTTTTACAAACATTTTGGTCATAATTCATTAGTTTGACCAAAAATGACAAAACGTTCACATTTTGACAGAATTTTATACGAAGAAAATTCTAAAACTCTTCTATAAAAATCAAAATTGTCCTAAAACATGCTGCCAGGTGAATATTTTGATTAAAACTCAAAAAGGTATTTTATATGAATATTTGAAAAATCACCCAAAATATGCCTTACTATAGCCGCTATTTATTTTTGTAAGGCATGTTTTGGGTGATTTTTGAAATATTCATATAAAATACTTTTGAAGTTTTAAACAAATTATTGACCTTGCAGCATGTTTTAGGACAAACTTGTATTTAAAGGCATTTCTGGGACTTATTTTTTTTTGCATTTTGTCACGATAATAAGGCTATAGTAAGGCATGTTTTTTGTGATATTTTGAAATATTCTGGAGTTTTTAGCACAAGTTATTCACTTGGCAGCATGTTTTGGGACAAACTTGTATTAACAGGCATTTCTGTGACTTTCTTGCATTTTTTTTTTCATGTTAGCAAGGCATGCAATAATGCAATAAAATAAAAAGTCCCTGAAATGCCTTTTAATAGAAGTTTGTCCCAAAACATGCTGCCAAGTGAATAATTTGTGCTTAAAAAAATAATTGGGTTTTCTCATTGCCTTTTTGGGTATGCATTGTCAAAGGTAATGGTAAAGAAAAGTTTAGTTAGATGTGTAAAAAGTAGTAAAAATTCAGTTATAAAAAGTAATCTAAAAACCAAGCAGAATACTTCCACAATCAGAACAGCGACAACTTTTTACTCTTATTAGCAAACACTTCACATTTCTAAAACATGCATTTAAGTCCATAGATACACATTTCAAAAGAATACAAGTCAAATTGCAACAGTAGCTCTTAGCTTTACTGTAACACTTCAGGTGAAGATGGACAGATCACATACTCACAACTACTTCTGTCAACCACATGTGTTCACAGGATTCAACAAAGACCCCATCATCAGGAGTGGAACAATTTCATTAAACCTCTTTTGGCCTAACACGAGTTGAGCTAAAAACATTCCATACAAATGCTCTCAGATGACTACACCATGTTCAAAGTGTTTAGCACTAGCATGTTACAAACCACTTCAATTAATCACTACAATCCACTGAAGAAACCATTTGCTACTTTGCTTTGAGTTTAACAAACTGCTAATTTATTCAATAAACTTTATACACTTCTAAAACTGTTTCCACCAATCTTTTCTGTAATGGATTTGTCACTCCTTTGTCAATACCTGTGAAAGGATCAAATCCATTTTTCATACCTATAATATTGAGGTTGAAGCAGCCCAGTCCGGCTGCACACTGAAGGAACACTGCACTCACATTACTTTGGCCATGATCTAAACCCTAGACGCATATGACCAAAAACCCCCCCCCCCCCAAAAAAAAAAAAAAAACCCACTGATAAATTGGGAAACAAAGCTAAATCGCACTCACAGTAAAACATACTTACTGGTTTAAAGATGGCTTCGTGGGTAATTCACTGTGTGTATTTGCCCAGTCCAGCCCCGACGTACTGTAAACATTTCACACTGTAAATGCTGTCCAAAAGTTTCATTTCCGGTGACAAAAAAAAAACTTGACAAGCTTCTCTTACTTGAGCAGCTCAAAAATGGCCAGGACGATGTCGTTCACGTAACAGAAACCAGATGAATCGAACTTTTTGGCGTCGTGGAGTCTGCTGCTACACCTGAAAAGATATACGTGCACGAACACGCGAACACACTTAAATAATGAAAACGTAAATACTTACCCTCGACAATAATGTGCCCTGGTCTTCATAGATTTCTCAACGTTTCAATACACTACAAAGTGCAAGCACCGCTTTGAAAGAAACGTTCCCCACAGAACAAGCTGCTGCTTCACTAACACTTGGCTGAAGTCGCAACACCCAAAATATTTGGACCAGTCAAACCAAATGGCCTTCGTGCAGATATTTAGAGGCCTAATATCTCGTAGAATTGAATCACACGCTGACTGAAGCAGTCAAACTAGTTTGAATGTGCAAACCGTGCGGCTGAGGCTATTGTTTAGCATTTAGCATGCTAACCGGCTGCCCCACTCGGCAGTTCAGCGTGATCACGGTTTCAAACAAATCTTCCGCACGCTCTGTGGAATACTGGTCCTTCACATGACGCGTTAATCGCCAAAGTGAAGAGAACCAGAGATAGAACTACGTACCGTCGTAATAATAGCAAACCATTTTCTCTGTGCCTTCACACAGCGCCATTTTGCAACCATCACCGGACCAGGAAGTATTACCACTTCCTTCCGATTTTCGTTATCCAATCACAAGCGGCAGCTACAATCCACCAGGTGACAGCGCATGCTCAGTAGTTTGTTAATCGGTAGATACACAGTCACTGTACACTATAGTCAGTGCAGGTAAAGGAAAATTCTTATAACTTATAGTGAATTGTGCTGAAACTACTGCTCACATCAAATGTGTACAAATGTTACATAAATGGCCAAGAAACGAAGCAGACACATTTTAGTTTTGGGAAATTACATCTTTTGTCTGCAGCTCCATTGCTTTTACTCTAAGGGCCGCTCTAAGGGTAGCAAGACTAAAGTCTTACTAAAAATAAAAAAAACTAGGCAGATGGTGGCCTTGAACGTGCAACCTTATGGGCCTAAGCTCACTTCCTTAACCACCAATCCACCACCAAACACACACACACAAAAACTAGTCTTACTATCATGAAAAAATGCAAAAAAAACAAACCCCAAAACAAACAAAAGTCCCAGAAATACCTTAGAATGGAACTTACCATTACTGAAAACATGCTGCCAAGTGAATAATTTGTGCTAAAAACTCATATTTGAACATGTCAAAATATGACCAAAAACAAGCACGACTATAATTTATTTACAATTTTTGGTTTTAAAAAAACATAAAATTTTGTAACCAACATGTTGGAAGACTTTGGCACGCCGGACGAGGATTTTTAGGTGAAGAGTCACTTGGTTTCATCTCTGCTGCTGCTCTCACCTCCTTTTAACCCAGTAAATTCCCACTGACCACCTCCACACAGCTTAAGCTGTTGGAGAATTTTTTTTAAATCACAAGGGATAATTCTTTCTTCTTTTTCTAAGTGTATATGTACATATGTTTGTTTGTATACATGTTCATATATTTTGTTTTTCCTTTTTAGGTGTAAGACACCAGTGCTTTGACAGAAGAGGCAGAGGAGAAGCTGTACAGAACCTGCAAACAGTTTGGGATGACGCTCATCAGTCTGGGACACTGCAGCAGTCTGGAGAAGATGAATATGTTGGATGTGTCTCTGTTTGTATGCATGCATGTGTGTGTAAAAACTCTATCTCAAACCCAACTACTGTATGCCTATCCCAAACTCGAACTCTAATCCCAACTGTTAAATCCCTAATCCTAATACACCATGTTAGAATGTAACCTGTTCAAACATGGGCTGTAATTAATGTGTCTAAGTTTTTAGTACTGTATATTGACGGTTTAAACACTGAGTCACAGACCTTACACTCTAAACTACAGTTGTATTATTGTCTAGTATGGTTGTATAAAACAGTATATAGTATATAGTCCTTCCATCAGCATTCTTGGGTTCATCACTCTCACCCACAAGACGCTTTCTTTCCCCGCTGACTGCACGTCTTATGACTTCCATACCATTCACGGTAAACCCTAGAGACGGCGGTTTTGGAACATCCCAAGATCTGCACAGTTTGTGAGATGCTGCGGACTCCCACTTTCAACCCCCTTTGAAACTCACCCGTGAATCACAGTTCAAAATATCCTGGCGTCTGTTCATGTTTGTAGTGTCGTGCTGTCTTCTTCTTTTCCGCTTAAGCCAACCTAGAAGCCTGCATTAAGGAACATCACTCCCACCTACTGCGTCAAGTGTGCAATTTACCGTGTTCCACATTTAAATTCTGTTTTAAATAGCAGAGTGGGCCTGGTCTGGGCATAAAAGTCCCGGGCTGTAAAAGTGGCCCACTCCGGTCCTGCTTCCAACACACTTCAAGGAATCATAGTACAACTTCCCTGTGTGTCTAAGCCAACAGCGGCATCTAGTGTAATTTCTGTGCATACACATTTTAATTTTTATACAGCGACAAAACGTCAGTCTCGCTCTTATGTATGTGTGATGCCCCGGACTTGTTGATGATAACTACATGATACAAAATAATGTGATTTTGAGTCTAAATGTTGTTCTAAATGTTGATGTCAAAAGTCAGACCATCACTGCACACAGTCTATAGAGACTGGTCAGCAGGATTTGACCACCTGTGGCGAGAACAGTGTCCAATCAAAACGGACTTTCTGCCCAATTGTGAAGGACTGTGATGTTCGGGAAGGAGCGACCGCTATGACAAAAAAAATCACGTGAGACGCGAGCGCCTCCTCTGACAGTGGACATCGTGCGCTCTTCGCTTTGTTCGTTAAGTGACGGAGCGACAGTATGAGACGCCATGGCATGGTGTGACCGAGGGGTTCAGACTCTGCTGGCCATCGTGGGCGCTTTTGCCGCTTTCAGCCTCATGTCCGTTGCCATCGGTACTGATTACTGGCTGTACTCCCGAGCCTACATCTGCAACACCACTAATGTCACCACGGACGAGAATCAGATGCAAACCAAAAAAGTTAAAGGCGACCTAACGCACTCCGGACTGTGGAGGATCTGCTGCATAGAAGGTAACGGCACTTTATACTTCTGTTAGAATTATTTTTTTTGACGTGAACAGCTGATCTGAACAGAGCGTCGATGACATATGCTACATTAAATGAACGCAACTCTTTAAATTGTGAAGATCAAACGACCTTTTTGACCAACTTCGCAACTACTAGAAATGTGTGTAAATCAATGACCAACAGTTGCTGCTACAACTTCACTTTCACAGTATATGGTCTATACGGTAACATTTCGATTTTCTTGAGGAGAATGTGAAGGAAAACCTACATTCTCATCTTCTTACTTTTCCTTTAACCAACATGGTCATGGTCAACTGATCATTATCATGCAGTGATAATGAGTGAAGCATTAAGGAAACGTGAACAGGACTGTTGTTGGTTCAATAACTTCGCATCAATAAAACTGACGGCTTCACTCCAAATAGACCAAATTAAGAAACCAAGTCACGTGATCGGTCTTCATCGGCGCCTCTTGAATGAGCTGTCCATTGCTGCTGGTGCTGAAATCTCCACTAGACTAGACTGTTCTCAATCACTCAGATGGTTTTACTCGGAGATAGAAGTTAGAAATATGTAACTGGACTGGTTTGGTGTGAAGGGTTTTTTCCCCTTACATACAAGACAATTTAGTAGCCTGTTTCTAACAGCTTTGGATTCTGCTAGACCTCTTGTTTAACTGAAATTAAAGTGAAAGTATGAATAAATGTCCTAAACATCCAAATGAGGGGGCTAATGAGCATTATTTTGTCGTGTTGTAGTTTATTCTACACTTTCCAAACTATACAGCCATCTTTTAACGCTCTGATATTCATATTATTTTGGTTTTTCTGTAGGTATTAATAAAGGAAGCTGTTTTTGGATCAATCATTTCCCAGACGATAACAGCTACGATACAGACAGCTCAGAATACATCTTACGTAAGTTTCTGAAACCTAACACTTCATTCTTATTGCCCCATCTGCTCAGTTTCTTTCTTTCTGTGCAGTGATAGCGTTAGCATAACCTACCATAAATCATGAGTTTTTATGAAATGATGATGTGTGTCAAAGGAGCACATTGTAACACACTATAGAAGGATGTCACTAAAGTGATCTCAACACCGATGACTTCACTGAGTAAATATAAATAACTCCATCAAAGACTAAACAAACATGACTAATGCTACAATTTCAAAGAAACTGTAATCATTTGTGGTCATTGGTTTATGACGTCCTCAGTCTACAGTACAGCTTTTAAAAAGCTACATGTTTGGTGACAAGATATCATATTTTCTAAAATTGTCAGTGTTGGACATGGACATGGACAGTATGTTGGACATTTTGACAAGTACTGTATGGGAATCTTCTTTCATTATATATTTTCCTTCATCATGCTCCTTTGAACAGGTATAGTGCGGGCATCGAGCTTGTTTCCCATTCTCAGCACCATCCTGCTGATGCTGGGCTGCCTGTGTACTGGGGTTGGACGGATCTACAGCAGGAGGAACAACGTCTTATTAAGTGCAGGAATCCTGTTTGTGGCTGCAGGTGGGAAGAGAGAAACTCAGTCTTACTTGACAAAGGAGAAGAGATTCTCTCTCTCTCTCTCTCAAGAAAAGCATAATTGCTTTAATAAATTTATTAATTTTTATGATTAATTAAAGACATTTTTTAAACTTCTTTAAAAAACAAGACTCAATTGGTGATTTACCCAGTGAAGCTGATTTGACCCTGAGGGTAGTGTGACCACCACAGTCATGGCTGATCCTTACTGTTTTTATGTCCTTTTTGATTTCAGGTCTGAGCAACATCATCGGCATCATCGTCTTTATCTCCAGCAACGCTGGCGATCCCAGTGACAAGAAAGACGAGGACAAGAAGAACCATTACAACTATGGCTGGTCTTTTTACTCTGGCGCTCTCTCCTTTATTGTGGCTGAAGCTGTGGGTGTTCTCGCTGTGAACATATACATCGAGAAAAACAAAGAGACACACTTTCAAGCGAAGCACGGTTTCATTACAACTACACAGTCCTCTTCACCTTACGCTCGCATCCCCAGTTTCCACCGTCGACGGAGGAGGTCACGCTCAAGTTCCAGGTCTACTGACCTGTCCAGGGACCCCTCCCCAGTTGGAATAAAAATGGGTGGAGGAGTAGGATTGGGAATGGGGCTGCCGATGGGAGACATATCCATATACACCTTCAATAGGGAACCCATGAAAAGGGGCAATAGTACTACAGGACCTTATAGTCCTGAAAGGGACTTTTTACAAGTTCACAACTGCTTCCAGAATGATCTGAAGGATGGCAACAACAGGAGAACCACACCAGTGTGAATTCTGGTACGCACTGCTGTATGGAACAGGTTGTTTCCCAACCCCATGGCACACCACCAAACAAAAAGCTCACAAAAGGTATATATAGGTAAAAAAATATGATAATCTTTTAGTTTACACTTACTCCAAAATTTATTTATTTTTTGAAATTTGGTAAAACCCTAGTAGTTAGTGAAAAATTGTGTTGAACATTTTTGAAAAAAAAAATTGAAAATGTTATCTTTTCTGCATGTTTCTCATCAAATTGGAGCATTTAACAAAGTTTTAGGATTTTTGTATTATTATATTTGAGGAAAAATCTGCATTTGTCATGTTTTGGTCAGATTGTGAAAAATATCAATGAAAACGTTTGTGAAAATGTCTTTTCACAATTTACTAACTCAGTGTGAAACCTGTTTAGTTGAAGACAACACTGATATACTCACAGAAATTGAAGAAAGACAATGATCTTCTTTAACATCTCTGATTCTCTTTCTTTTAGTTTACATAGTCATCTGCTGCCACCTAGTGGAAGAATGTTTAATTGTTCTCCGGTCACTATGCAACGTAAGAAACTAAGTGCAGCGCAACCCAGTATCTGGCTATGTAAAAAGTATCGATTTGTTGTATTTGTACAAAGAAAAAAAACTTTAACTCAGAGTGTATCTTTTGAAGCATTTGAAGGATAAATATTTACAGTGTGTAACTTTGTCAGTTTGTCACAAATTTTAAACCCGTATTTTGTTCATGTTGTGAGATAAAATATTAAATGAGACGTGACACATCAGTGAAACATCATTTTCATCAGTTCTACATTTCTCATTTCTCACCTCTTCTTGTCTCACTACTGCCAGCCAACAGGAGTGTGTTAAAGGGAACCTGTTTACCAGCGTAATGCACGGCTGAGCTGCTATACTGTATGTTCACACACACACACGCCCCGTTTATGTAGTGAACTGTGTTTGTGTGAAAGGTCATAAATAGTTGAAATCACTTTGTTGCAGTTAAATATTTTATGCTGCCGTTTAATTGAGAGAGAATCTTTGTGTGTATGTCTGTAAGGGTTTACAGTATGTATAGCTATACTTGTGGGGACATTTTTTAGTACAATGCTTTGTTGTGGGGACATTTTCAGGGACCCCACCAAGTGTGGTATGAAGGTATTTTGAAGTTTAATGTTACTTCTGGAGTCAGATTTATAAGAGAGTCTGTGTTAAGGTTAGGGTATGGATTAAGCGTAGGTAAATCCTCATAACTTCTGAAAACCAGACTGTGTGTTTGTGTATTAGTTTTGTAAAATTTCAGTCATTTTTTTCAACATTTTTTTGTTTTTAACAAGATTTATTTCACCATTCATATTTGTTTACTCTATCACTCAGATTGCAACATTGCATTCTTTCATAAGTCTCTCACTTCCTTATGTCTCTCATTTCTCCTGTGACCTGTGACAGACCATTTGACTAACTATGACAGAAGTATCGGTTCTTAGATGCTGATTAGAATCAGAAACTCTCTGTTGTGTATTTGGGAATTTATTTCTGTTCTATTCCTCCCTCTGTAAGCCCTAATATCCAACCTAACTAAAACAAACATGACAATAAAGGAAAGCTCGACTATGCAGTAGTTTTTTTTTTTCATACATTTAAGAAAGTAATTCCCAAACTTTTTTGGCCGCCAACCCCCTTCTACATCCCCACCGCGTTGACACACATTAAAGCAATTTAAAAAGTTTTTTATTATTTTTTTTCTGAAAAATCTGCATTTGTCATGTTTTGGTCAGATTGTGAAAAACTGATAAAATTCTTTGGTAAGTTTTTTTTTTCAAAATTGTATCTTTTCTGCATGTTTCTCATCAACTCAAATCAATTTTTGGTAAAATCTTAATTTCAGAGTTAAGATTTGTCTGAGTTGGTCAGACGGTGAAAAATGTTAGTTTTATGATTTTTTTTAAATGTTAAATTTTCTGCATGTTTCTCATGAAATAATTTAAACAATATAATTTACTAATCTAATTTAACATGTCGCTTTAAAAAAAATTATGATTAAATCTTTTTTCAAAATATGTTTCGGCCAGATCCTAATTTAGATGATTTAGATTTTAGATGATGATGAATTTTATTTAATTTCTTTTTTCAAATTTGTATCTTTTCTGTATGTTTGTTATTCAATGAGAGCATTTTCTTATCAAATCAGAGCATTTCTTTCTCAATTTTAAGCATAAAATGTTTAAAACTACAGTCATTTGGGTAAGTTAACGTGTACTTTAACTAGGAACAGGTAAGAATTGATAATATCTGACAGCTATGTCGAAAACACGTCTGAAAATTTTACAGAAAGGTATGTACATATGATCTCTATGGGTTGTGACATACAGTATGTTCATCTCACATCTGAAAGAGGAAATGCAGACAGAAATTCTTGAAAGCAGGATCACTTCATGTGGGAAACACTGTTCCTTGACAGCTGGAAACTCACTGTTGCTCTTTATAAACACACCCACTTTCTTCTTATAAATAGTTTATAGAGACACACTTGAGAGTAAGCACAGCCGCTGCAGAGGAAAGGTACGTTATTGTATACAACCCATACGAAAGCAGGTATGGGAAAATAATGTGTTGGAGGACACTCTTGTAATAGCACGGGAATGTAACCAGAGAGGTGGTGAGCACGGTCAGCCTGACTTCTTGACTCATCTGTCACATTTATAGCACCCTAATGCCCCACCCAACCTCATGCAAAACACTTACCAACACATGCTACCAGCCCACAGCCCACAGCCCACGACTGCAGACCGTTGATTTGGTCATCAACTTTGCAGACCTGCCCCAACAGCTGTAAGTCTAAACTTGTAGCCACTCAGTTGTAAAGAAAGTCACAGTGAGTAGAGGACGAAGACCTGAAAGTAGGACAGGAGCAGCTTGGCACTCTTCCCTACAAACAAGAGGCACATACTTGTGACAAGTGAAGCAAAGCCACTGGCCTGAGGGAAAGGAGAAGATACTTTTCAGGAAGCTTGCTGCAGTCGCTGAGAGAAGCTCTCCACACTGCAGAAAATCAATTTGATAGATTTGCTTTAATTCGAAAGAAGAACAGAGCAGAAAAAAACATCAACTGGAAACATGCACAAGCGCACCAAGATTAAAATCACCATCTTTGTGCTGCTGGTGGGAATGGCTTGCACATTCACATCAGTGGTAACAGACCACTGGGCAGTGCTGAGCCCAAAAGTTGAGACCTGCGAGGCAGCTCACTTCGGCCTGTGGAGACTGTGCAAGAAGACCATTTACATGAGCTCAGAAATCTTTGACAAAGGCCGAGGCTGCGGACCCATCAGTCTTCCTGGAGGTAAGAAAAACTGTTGTGGGATTTCATCCATCTGTAGTTAGGCATTAGCACAAACGTCTTGTGCTGTGATGCATATATGGTATATATAAATATACAGTATATATATATAAGGATCATGCAGGCCATTCTAGAGCTTATGAGTTATGAAGCTAAGAATAGAGGTCCAGATGAGAAAACACTCAGACCATGTCACACGACAGCATAACTGGGTGAAAGTGAAAGGAATATTATGGAGTACACAACCTCACACATGCCCACGTTTTAATACAGTTTATAAAACCAACTGTACTAAAACCTGTGATCTGCTTTACTGCACATCTCAACATCTAAATTGGTGACAAATATCATTATGAATAAATAAAAATGATTATACCTGAGGTGGTAAATGAGATCTGTGTTTGCAGCGACTACATGTAAACCTTATCAGTCAAAAAACCTCCGACAAACTGTACCTTTGGTTCTCACAGTGGTTTCAGGCCCGTGGGCAGACCACTGTTTCTGATTTGACCTTGAAACTACGCCCAAGCCTGTCCCTATAAAACCTGTCAATCAGAGATATGAGTGGCAACAGGTTTCAGTCAGGATTGGACTGACCAACCCAGTCTTTACTAGAACAGCTGAGGCTGGTTCTCCAACACTGAGTGAAGAAGAATGTAGCCCCCGCAGAACACATGGGCTCCTGTTTACGACTTGTTCTAAAAGACTCAGTAAGATGACAAGTGATGATTTATAAAGAAGTCAGTGGTTAACACTGGGTGATTTTGACATGAATTCATTTTGCCCATGTGTTGCTTCTTTATTTCGTTTGGAATTATTATTTGGTATGAGTTTGAAATTCAAGATTCAACAAACTCTTTCTTGGATGAGACTTTAGTACTTGTGTTGAAAAAGGCAACAAAACATAGTGATTAGTGTTCCTCTAATTAAAACAACACCAACAACACTGTAGTGCTGATCATTCATTCAACATATACCCCCTAATATTTTTTAGGGTCACAGGGTGCAGGGCGGAGGACATTCCTAACAGGAATGGGGAAAGGGTGGGGTCAACCCTGGACAGTTTGCCATTCCATTAAATGTCCACATACAGAAACAAACAACCATTTTAACTCACAAATTAACCTGTGGTCAAATTAGAGCAGCGGTCACCAACCTGTTTGAAACTGAGAGCTCCTTCAAGGGCACTTAGTAATACAGAGAGCTACTTTGATACAGACTTCCTGAACAACGTAATAATAGTCAGTTCTGGGACATACAGTAGCAGACACTCTTCTCACTATCGTCATTGAACCCATTTGAATATCACTGAGAGAGAAACTGATTCAAAAAGCACAGAAACAGTACAATTGTTGAATAGTTATATTTTCAGAACAAACTCCATGGGAATGACCCTGGGCATCACGTTGATGACCCCTGATTTAGAGTGTCCAGTTCTCCTCATGTACAATGTCCTTTACACTTAAAAAGGAGGAGACCAGGAGAAAACCCAAATACACAAAAACATGCAAACACTGAAGGGTAGGAGCAAACCGTTCATCTTCTTGTCACTAACCACCAACAATAATTATAGCGTATTACCATCATCTTGACTATTACTATACTTATCATAAGAATGGCCTGTATATAGTTCCTGGTCAGCTCTCATGTCATATGTCGCACTGAGATGTGGTCATTAATAGAATACAGTATAGATATTCAGTCAACTTCTCCTTAATGCAGTGTACATAGGGAATACTGAAACTAAATCTTTATGAAGAGAAGTCACTCCAGGTGAACCCACTCCCCCTCCCCACAAACATAAATAGGTTTCATCTTATGTTAGGTGTTTGACTTTTGGGAATCCCAGACATCAGGAGCAGACGTCAAGCAGATGGTTTACCTCAGTCTACTTTGTTATCCTAGTTATGGCAGGCATGTGCTGACATACTGTCACGGTTCATCCCACTCAGGAAACTGTCCACACTATGGCAAGTGGCTAAAAGTTAAGCTGTTATTGTTGATTATATTACGATACAATATTATATGATATTATATTATATGATATTATATGATATTATATTATATTATATTATATTATATTATATTATATTATATTATATTATATTACATTACATTACATTATATTATATTAGTAACATTCCATTATTTTCGTCTTAGCAGTCTTCCGAGTCTCTATGGGTCTTCCCAGGTCCGGTGACTTTATTTGGAGAGGAACGTTAATGTTTATCCTGGCCACACAACTTAAAGTAGCTGTCAATCTCTGATCCAACACAGAACCTCAGGCAGTAAATTAGGAGAGACCTGGAGAGTCTGTGATGGAAAATGTGAAAGGACTCATTTAGGTAGGCTGTTAAACTTGTCAGATGATATCAGGTTAAAATTTGTATTTATTATGTACTGCATCAGGTTAGGGGGAATTCCGCTCCAATATTTGGTCTAAACTAGTCTGCCTGACTGCCTCTAATCTGATATGACTTTTCCAGCTGTCCTAAAGGTCCTATTAAAAAAACAAATCTGATATCACCTTCTCACCTATCAACTTACACGGCTACTCTGTATCCCTCGCCTTGTGTTTAATTCACAACACAATTGACACAATTTGAACTTTGTGGTCTAATGACTAAAATTTGTCCAAACTGCTCAGCAAGCACTTGTTATGGTTATAAATATAGGCCATGTAAATACTCAGCTGTCCTGGGTGGAAGCCATGATGGTCAAATGTTCAGGACATGGCTAGTGTTCCTCTGAGTGATGGGGGCGCCTGGAAGTGTTAGACATACTTCTGAAGCTCGCTTCCCCACAAAACTCCCCATGAGACTGTCTTGAGGCTTTATGTCTCTGTGTCGCTCACGTAGCCACTTATATAACTTTACACGTCGGCAGCTTGAATACACAGTTCAAAAAATAGTGCACGGGAACTGCTGTGGCTTAGAAAGCCAGCACGCACAAGGTGGTGCTCTTGGTTATTTGATGTTTTTAAAACTAGCAACGCTTGATCTGGCATGTGTCCGCATATAACTGTGGACTAAAAATTGAATAAGAGTTAATGGACTGTCCTGTCAAAATCAATTGAGTTTTTTCAGGGCGCTAATTTTATCTGCCATGACAGAGTAATGACAACCTCCAGATTATCTGTACGTTCTAGTTCTAACAAGTCCTTTTCTATCTCCATCCATGCTGATGCTGACAATCCAGTCTGTCCAGTCGTATTTATAGCAAATTTTAATTTGCTGAAGTCTGAGAACGTCCAGTCGAAAGAAGCAGTGGACGTGGAAAACTTAATTTTCGAGGGTGCAAATCACAAGATACAGCTTGCTGGAATCTACACGGCGCCTTCTTCGACCTGCCAATCAAAACACTCAAATCGTGACTGTAGGCCTGCTAGACCTACTGTACGTGTTAACAGTTGATGTTGTTTTTAAACCTGGCTCAGGTTCAGAGAATCTGACTGTGTACCAACCACCACCTGATAACTATCGTGAAACAGTCGAGCCTTGAAAGTGAAAATCCCTGAGGATTTACCACACCGGTCTCATGTCTGCTGCAGCTGTTTTCATTATGACAGTTAACTTGGGGAATCTCTACAACATCACGTAAACAGTACAGAGCAGATGAATAATGATTATTATCACCACCACGGTATTTAAACTGTCTAATACACCTGTCACACACTGTATAAAACTGTAAAAAAAAAAAAGGATGACTTTGGAAATAATGCAAAAAAAGCATGATAGTTTAAGCTAAGTTATATTTAAATTGTTTTTGTTTGTTTTTTTGTTCTTTTCACAGAGGAAAACTGCACCTACTTCGGGCACTTCGCCCCAGGACAGGACTCAGAGATATTTGAATACAAAACCCAGAAAGGTATGTGGGGTTTTTTTTAATCCCGTTGGTCACATCCTTCTGTTCTCTCTATGAGTTCAATCAATTATTAATTATTAATTAAGGCACAGATCGAGGCACCAGACAAAGGTCATGATGGAAACAGTCAAAGCTGACTTCACCTGCTGCTGATTTCTGTGGACACAGAGTTTTTCAGGTCTCTCTTCTGGCCACTGCACAGTTGGTGGCGCCACAGCAGGTGTTTCTGCCCCTGCGTACTGTAAACCCACTTATATAATATAATATAATAATACCTATAATACCTGTGTTTTGTTTTTTCTTCTTTTTAACAAACATTATCACAAATCAGTATTTCACGACTATAGAAAACTCCACAAAAATATTATTTATTTTCTCTTTTTTAAGGAATTGTGATCAAATAGTGTTCTGATGGAAGGACAGTAGTATTTGCAGAACGAGGGTCTACTCTCAGTGTACTATAACCGCATCTGCTATTGACATGCCTTTATGATCTGACCCCATGAGTGCAATGTTGCATACAGGTCTGCTACTATACACGCATCTTGAAAGCATTCTGACATCACATCACAAAACTCACAGAATACTCAGTGTGTACACGTCCCATGATCAGAGCTGGAGATGTCCCGCACAACTCCTTCCATCCTGTCTCCAGTAACCCTGTTGTAAATATGTCCAGATCAGAGCAGAGAACGCATGTCAGATGACAAGCCTTCCATGTAATGTGCATTAGGAGGCTGAGCACATTTGGAACAATGTCAGGCCGTATTACAGGGGGTAAATGTGAATAGACTTTTACATTCTCCCAACCTTTACAAACACCCTAAACTCTAGATGTTAATGCAAGCATTCACGGGTGCTTCCGTACACACACACAGAGCACACACACACACACAGAGCCAACACTGACAGCTGGCCTTTAAGCAAACACAGCAGGAGAACGACGGCAGGACAGACCGGAGATCCCTGCTGTGTTATTCACTCTTGACTGAGTCAGTTGGATTTACTATTATGGTAAATAAGGTTGAATGAGCATAATAGGAAGTACGCCACCAAAGGCACATCCATCCATACAGCGAGACCCCCTCGCAACCAAGAGCTATAAATGTAACAATGTTTTTTTTTAATGCAATGTAAAAAGAAAATCGCACTGCACTGACATAAATAATACATTCAGCTTTAACTGCACTGAACCATTAACGCTGCATTGTCTTCTGCCTTCGCTCAGTGTTGCTGAGATCTGTTCGACCAGTTCAACACAAGTAGATTTTAGTTCATATTTCTTTGAGCGCACTTGATTTCAAGGTAGGGACTGTCGCTAACTTTCAGATTACAGTCTCACCAGCATCGCAGGTTTTTAATATTTTAAATGTATTCTTGTATTACGGATTTTTCACTCTATTGCAGGTTTTTGCAGTATATAAAAATAATATTTTATAATAATAATAATTTTTATTATCTTCGTGATAATATAAGCATTTTCTAGCCCGAGAAGAGAAAAAACTGTAAAAATACATTAAAATACATTTTGTAACACATATATAACAGGGTACTGCAAGAAATAACCTAAAAAATATGTATACGTAAATGAGAATTATGAAACTTATATTAACTTTTTTGTGATATTTCACGATGCCTTCAGAAAGGTTCAATCAATCAATCAATCAATCAATCAAACTCAATTCATCACAAAGGTGGTGAAACATGTGAATTCCATTGTGGCTCAGTTTACTAGATAATGTAGTACTGAAAACACTTCCTTTCTCTCATTTCAGAGTACAACATCTCTGCAGCTGCCATCTCCATCTTCTGCCTGGGCTTCATAATACTGGGGGTCCTGTGTTTGATTGGATCTTGTACTGGTAAAGGCAAAGGAAGAGACTACCTACTCAAACCTGCCGGAATGTTCTTTGCATTTGGAGGTGAAATCAGTCGATCAATGGAATCTCTACGTACTACAGCACCCAGAAATCCTTTCGTTCAAAGTAATAAAGTGACTGTTTTTTTTTCTGCTCCAGGCCTCTGCACCTTTGTCTCACTGGAGGTGATGCGTCAGTCGGTGAAAAGAATGATCGAGAGCGAGGAGACAATCTGGATTGAATACTACTACAGCTGGTCCTTTGCTTGTGCCTGTGCCGGCTTTGTGATTCTGTTTGTGACAGGTATCACCCTCCTGATCCTATCCATGCCTCACATGCCCAGGAACCCATGGGAGACTTGCATGGACGCTGAGCCAGAGCAAGTGGAGTAATGGTGACATGAAAATGAACGCAAGAGTGAGGAGACAGTGGCTGTGAGTTAAAGCACAGCTGTGAGTTAAACGAGCGAGAACTGGCAACCTAACATCATACCAACAGAGCATGGCTCTGTGGTGAGGATTTAAACCTCCAACAATACAACAACCTGAACAAAATCCATGTGTTTATGAGATTTAAATGTGCCTCATTGTGGAGAATCAGAATTAAGATTAGACCTTGGCCTAAACCACATCAACTCAACCACATAGACGTCCTCAGGATTAGAGCTAGTGTACAACAGACTAACTGATTACAGGTCAATGTTGGACATGTTTTGTTTCCAATCTGTCTCCATTTTGTACAGATAATATAATAATATAATATTTACAGTACTGTACAGTACACATTCGTCTGAGAATAAGGTACTAAACTTTAGCTTTATTTGATATTTTATTTGATATCTTTGATATGTGTACGTGATGACAAGAATAGACACAACACGTGCTACGAGTCCCCAGTGTATCGATACATATGTTGAAACGCAGTATCAACTAACACTCTGCTGCTCTTCTGTCTGCATGTGAACGCCAATCATTCTGGAATTAGTTTAGCTCCAGCACATGCATCTAATGTAAAAACTCTTCTCAATAATTATGCCAACTAAGGCTGCGGTGACTCTCGGTGTCACTGTGTTTCTTTGATTACAAGGAATCTTTTATACTTTTAACCAATTAAATTTTTGTAGCCATTCCCGAATAACTGTGGTCCTTATTACAACTTCTAGAACATGTGGCCCACAAAATTAACACAACTTATTTTTCTACTGTAAAACACAAGACCATTTAAGAGACAGCATAGAAGAAGGAATATATATATATATAAACATATATTTATATCTGACAATACAAATCTGTTTACAAACAAAGAAACTTACGGGCCCAATACATAGCCAGGTGCGACTCCTTTGCATTTTTTAAAATATCATCTACAAGTAATACATTTGCTATTTGTTTAATTTGCATGCTAATATCTTTATAGTAAGAAAAAAAATGTTTAGATGTCACAGTTTGAACACGTGGTCGAGAGGAGCACAAGTTTTAAATCAGTCTGGTCTGTCTAGACCTGACAAGCAGGACAATGGCTGTGTCCTCAGCATCGTGTACGATATTACCCACAGGTGATGAGTGACATCACCACACAGACAGTTATAGCTATTACATTACACATTACAAGGGAATACGGTGTGTTTCACCGTCTTGGCCGAAAACTGCCCAGGACTGAACTGTCTCTCTTTGAACTGTGTCTAAGCCTCGTCCCAGAAAAACATGTAAACTAATGTGATACCAACTGCTGTGCTGACATGAACTTTATTTATTCTGTTGTTTTTTATTTGACCAGTAATCATAGCATGCAAACATGTTTTCAAATGACGAAAGATATGTCTGAGTGTTCATTGAAGAATAAATAAAGAAAAGAAAATTTAAAAATGGCCTCTTTCATCCTTCTAACGTTGCGCAGAACTAACTTTGAATTACAGGTGACGAAAAACAAGTTATTATTATTTTTATGTAAAAGCAGGCATTTAGTTTTCTTTTGTCCAAAAGCTACCATATATTTGTATTGACATTTATTTTCACAAACCGAAGGACAAGGCTTTAATGCCGAGGAGGTTCAATAAAAACACTTTAATAGCGAAACAAATAAAAAAAAGAAATAAACATTTTAAACACAGTCTAAAACCTGTATTATGACCACCACCAATTGAAATAAATGAGTCAAACATATCTATTCATTATTTTATACCCATGAGGGAAAAACCAGTGGGACTGGGAGGCTGAGAACTGGTGAACTGTTTCTTCACTTCAACATGAGGAAAAAAAGGACGAGAGCAAACAGGTAAAAGGAAATATGTGGCATTTATAAAAGGCTGAAAAGAGTGCCCTCTGTTGACTGGGCGAAAGGTTGCTCCCTTTCCGTGCAATACACAAATATCACAACTTTATGCTGACAATTTAACAGTGGGAACTAGAAACACACTAAATCCGACTTCATGAAAAGCTTATTTTTTTTCATTTAGTATCTTTTTTTAATAAATATATCTAATGACAAAAAATAAGCCATAGAGCAAAAAAGAGAGAGAGAGTAACAAGTGTACAACTGAATGGATTTGGCTTGATGGCTCCAGGTTGAAATATAAATATAAGTGTATCTGAGAAAGCAGTGAAATATCAGTATTGCACAACTCCAGGGATTAGCCAACAACTGCTAGTTGGATTAGCACTGAATGTTAGAACTGTCATTTAACACATGGCAGGGAGCAACCTCAGCTTAAGCCCTGCTAAATGAAGAAAACATTGACACGTTAGTAAAATATTCCAACTTTTGTTAATAATCTTCACTAGTTGTTGTAAACACCAAATGCCAAAATTTACCTTTGTTGTATGATACTTTTTTTCTGTATTTAATCCACAAATCAAACTTATATACAGGAAATAAACCGCCAGCTCATTTCAACATGCAGAAAAGAATGCAACATTAAAAAGAAAAAAAATCCATATTGACTATGATGGAAGCGCAGGACAAAACTAGCAACAAACATTTAACGTACACTGAGTCGATCATTAAATCATTTGATCTCGAAATCAAAATGTTTAAAAAAACAAACAAACAAACAAAAAAAAAAACAAATGTTGCTGTGTTCCAACTACTGTCCAGGTGGTTGTTGGTGCCCATTTATTATCAACTATTGGTAATTTTGATTAAAAAGGGCAAATCTCCTTTTTGTTTTAACAGCTTCTACAAAATTGAGGTGCTGACAAAGTTCTTTTTTGCAAATATCTAAAAAATGCCTATTTACAAGTATTTGTTGTTTCTCGGCTTAAAAACAATCCTGATCTTGGAATTACAATCATACATTTCACTGCCGACTGTTCAAAACCCAGTTGTTTGCAGGAAAAGTAACTTGTAATTTTCTTTTTCTTCTTTTGAGTTTGGATTAATAATAATATGAAAGCCATGACACAATACAATAAGACCCATCTACATACTGGGCAGTGTTGTTTCACAAACACATAACAGTTCCAACAGAACATAGCGCTGGGCAGGTTATTCCATTATTGTTTATTCATAAAGTGAAAATGACTATTTTTCTTGTATTATATTTATATTGTGAAAGTTGTGTATCAACCTCCAGATTAAACTAAATGGGGTTTTTAGACGCAAAAGAAATTATGAATAGAGTGAATAAAGGGCATGTGGGTTAATTTTTTGAATTTTTTTAATAAAAAAAAAAAATTTTTTAGAAAAACAGAAAATGTAAATATATATAAAGACCAATGCGGTTCCACCTTCAACAGAGACAGAAAAAAAGGGACAATTGTTTGCTTTTAACGCCTAATGTGTAACGAAGGGTGTGCTACCGACTTTCAAATTTCATGGAAATGATTAGTGACAACAAATGTCAAGTTGGGGAAAAGATTAAAAATGTAACTTTTGTTGAAACTCGTGACTTAGTAGATTGTCATTCATAGAAAATGGGAAAGACGTGTTGACAGTTCATCCTTCAACCTGAACTCAGTAATAAATCTGGGGAAATGATGACCGTTCCTGATAGAACACAAATAGTTGACACCCAAAATAAGCGTAAAAAAAAAGACAAATAAATACCCTGAAAAACACTTTTTATACTTGCAGATGTTCATTTAAAAATTGTGATCACACCTCCAAACTCAACTTACCCTCCATGATGTGTCACTCTGACTTCTCCACTCTCTCATCACTTTCACAAACCCACGAAGCAAAGCCAACTTAAAAATCTCTCAAACACGAATGCATCCCCAGCTGTGAGGATACAATCACCACATCTGACAATGGATGAAAAGCAAAAGGAAACAGATGATCACAGGAAGACAAAATAAAACTACAGATAGTCTGCCTCAGTAATTCAGATGGAGATATTTTCATGATATTAAAAGAACATTTGGTGCTTTTGATTTCTTAGCAAACCAAAGCAGGAACAACAGGACTGTTGCAATGTTAATCTCTTCAAACTGTATGGTTGCCATTAGGATATAGGTAAATAGTACAGTATGCTATCATTATTCGTGTATTTGTTTAGTAAATAAGCATTAACAATTAGAAAAGAAATCACCGAAGACAAACCCTCAGATCAAGGTCTGGAGAGTCAAACAAGAGAAAAGTATATATCATGAAAATGCTAGAAAGATACAGGACTTTAAGAACATGTCTGTAGCATACAATTCAGTCTTTTGAGTTTTTCATACGTACAGATAAGAGGAAGATTATCTACTTCTATACACTGTAGTTTTTAATTCAGTTGACCACTCAGCTTTTGTCCATTACCACAATGACAGTAGTTTGGAAACCAATACGATAACAAGTACTCAAAACATCTGTAAAAAAAAAAAAAAAAAAAAAATAGTAAAGAAAAATCGGAAGGTAGCTAAGTAATCAACTGAGTCACCCTTTTTTATTTACTTTTTTAAATAGCTTTTTTTTAGCATTACGTACATATACAATAGTAGATTATATAAGTATATATTCATATATACATGAGTATGTATATATACCAGTAATGCATTCTTTATACTTTTTTCACAAATATGTGAGAAGGGAAAAGGATGAATTACAAATAAAAAGCTGAAATGAAATAAAATTGATAAAAAACAAACAAAATAAACTGTAAATGCACTTGGAGCTTTTTTTTAAGAAAGTATTCTTTTATGTTTTTTTTTTTTTTTGTTTTGTTTTTTTTTTTTTTTTTTGTTTTTTTTTTTTTTTATATATATTTTTCATTTAATCACATGTAATATGAGGGAAAAGTGACACTCATTTGAAGTAGGAGTAGTATCCATTGCTACCATTTGAACTTCCTATACTTAGCTCTTGGAGGAGAGACAGGGGGTTGCTGTTCTTTTTGACCTGTTCTGGTCGAACAGCCCGGGGCTTGGGTGGAGCACGGAGGGCACTCGCATAGGACATGATGGGGGGTTTATTTAAATTTGAACTGCCCTGGCTGGGCTCTGTGGGAACCTGCAGTGGTTGTTGTTGCTGCTTGTTATTGGGCATGAGAGGAGGAAACTGTCCAAGGTGCTGAAGGGAGTTTAGAGGGTGCAGGTGTGTCTGCTGTGCTGCCGAAGCCTCGGCCTTCACCTGCTCCTCTGTCTGACAAATGGGCTTGGAGGCTGGATATAGAAAGGTTCATCAGGATGAAATGTGTTAAGTGAGTTTGATTTGAACAGTAAATTCACAGAATACACAGTGACTAAAATAAATAACAAAAACTGAAAGGTAAGAACTGTACTGTCAGAGAATTACATTAGAGAATGACACCTACCAATGATTTCTCGGTGCTGAGACAGTGTGCCGGCTCCATTACATGGAATGTTCTGGAACGGGCCTGGACCTCCACCATTGCTGGACCATGAGTCATGTGAGGGCAAAATGTACTGGGTATGTGGGTGCGGATGGTGCTGCATTGGTGGATGATGGATGTCCTGCTGATCTGATGCACAAGGCTGAAATTGCTGGGACACAGCACCGTGGGTGTTGGCTGGAGACAGTTCATCAGGGAAGCCAGAGGAGATGCGACGTTGGTAGAGAGGCCTACCTGGGCCTCTGGGCTCATACTGTAGACAGAGTAGGGATGAAAAAGGAATTAGAAAAAGACATGT